CCCCCCCCTCGCCGCTGAACACGGCTCTGCAGCGGTTCTCTGGGTAATTGCGGGTTTTTATTCACTTCAGTCAAGGCCACGCTCTGCAGATCAGAGCGCTGAAAGAAGAAGATCATCCTTTTCCCTCTCCGTCTAAAGATGAGTGCTGCTGCTCAGGAGCTGATAGCTGGGGCTTATGACATAACAGGCAGGAGCATCATTCTTCAAGCAGCGTTCCTGCCACACAGGTCTGAGCAGTCAAAATTTAGACAGCCCCCCCCTCCCGGATATTTACCCACCTCATGAGGGATTTCATGAAGGAGAATGGCCAGGGTTGTCAGGAAGCCAACCTGTCAAGGCAGGAAATCACAGTTACTCCACAGTAGAGGCCACTGCAGGGAGAGGTGGGGGGATTTTAGAGATGGGACACTGCACAGCCTCCCCACTCCTGTGGATGGGTATGTAACCACGGCAACCATCTCCTCTTTTTTTACGATAATTACGACAATTACAGCGCAGGGTTCGGGCGGGTGCCAAGAGCGAGATGTCAAGAAAAAAATCAATTAAAAAAAGCCCATTCCGAATGCCGTCTCGGCTCCTGAAAGGTTTCTCAAAAGCTCGAAAATGCATGCAAGAAGACTTAATGACAGCCCGTCACGGTCTGGAGAGGGGAACCGTAGTAGTATGTGCTCGGGGGGGGAATCCGAACACCTGCAGACTCCTTTTTCTCATGCGTGGCGGGAAGATCTGGGGATGTTTGTGAAGGATAAGCACGAAGCCTCATCTGCTCGGACTGCACAGTTACAGTACAGTCGACAGAGCAGTGACGAAGAGGATTCTAGGAAGGCAGCAATGGGCTGTATTGGGACTGATAACTGGACGGGTGTGGGTTCGAATCGCAGGTGGGAGACTGCTGGATGGACCCTCGAGCAAGGTACTTCACTCAAATCCAGTAAAATATACAGCTTTCAAGGGACCAAGTAAAGGTTTATTCCATGCCGAAAAGAAAAGAGACAACGTTTCGGTTGTGGAGCATTCTTCAGGTGTGAAGAAGGCTACACACCCTAAACATTGTTTTGTTTCTTCTGTTCTCAGCGTGGAATAAACCTTTACTTGGTCCCTTGCAGCCTACGCCTGCTGACACAGCTACCTTCTTGAACTACACAGCTTTCAGCTGTGTAAAAGGGTACAAAAGATAATGTACAGGAAAAAGGGGATAAAAGTGCCAGCCAAATGAATTAACAACAATAAAATAAAAATGGAGAGATAAATGACAGAGTACCCCCCCCAGACAAGCAAGACTTGTTACATAGATTAACAAGCAAACACTACCAGAAATGCTAAACGTGGACTTTAAGAGTACGGATGACAAATAAATAAATGCTGGTACAAGTTCATAAGGCGAAAGGAAATATTTGATTAAATCGTTAGGGAAGAATCCATAAACATTTAACCCCGAGGATACGCAGCACAAAGCTATTTAAACCCTGGACAGCAGGGGGCGCCATGGTTTGCAAGTGGAGGAAGGCCAACCCATTGCAGTGATCAGAGCCAAGGGGTGGGAGAGTGGGTGGCCGTGCTCTCTTCCGGGGCTTCGGATCTTACGTTAAAGTGAATCAGGACGTGGAGAGAGAGAGGAAAAAAAAAAACACACTTCCACCTACTTTTCTGCTGACGAGGAAACTCCCGGCGACGGCCAGGCCGTGGGTGAAGTTATCGATGCAGTTAGCCAACAGGTTCAGGTAGCCACTCGTCTGTCAACACACAGTACACTCAGTAAGGGGAAGATGCAGCTTGGTTTTCCCTCGGCTTCCACCCCAAGGAATAATACCGGGTGCATTTACAAACGGGGTTAAAACATACTCGCTTATAACTGCGACAAATTCACCAGGCTACGAGGAAAAGGGGGCAGCGGTTTTTGCAGCAGGTGCACCGACACTTTTTTTGTTCTGGGAAAGACGCGACACAGGCGAGTTCATTTCGGCGATTAACATTTATCATCCACAGGGCTGGGCCACAGGCAGTCAGCTGTGAGAGCTGCAGGCCAGCAGTATAGTATGTGTGTGTGGTTGTGCGACCGTTGCTGGAATCCACACAAGCAAGACACCTGCTTCACACCAGACTGCAGATTCTACCCGAATTCTAAATGTTAAACCTATAATCAATATCTAAGGCTCCTATGCTTTTTAAAAGGACTTGAACACATTGAGTGAGAGGTTTCCATCTGATGATCAGTAGGTACATTTACAGTAAATAGAACAGGCACCCATAAACTACCTTGTATCACCTTTCTAAACATTTGAACAATCCATCCAGGTCAGATGCTGTAGGTGTAAAACCACTGAGCAGTATAGTCCTGCCTGGATAACAATCATATCCTTACACTTATATAGTGCTTTACTGGACACTCCACTCAAAGTGCTTTACAGGTAATGGGGATCCCCTCCACCACCACCAGTGTGCAGCCCCACCTGGATGATGCTCCAGTCCTCTCACACACACCAGCTCTCAGTGGGGAGGAGAGCAGAGTGATGAGGCCAGTTCAGAGATGGGGGTTATTAGGAGGTCATGATGGGTAAAGGTCAGGGGAATTAGGACCCACACAGATGGTAGGGTGAGCGCAACTGTAGCTTTCCAGGAGGTCTGCCATCCAGGTACTGGCCAGGCTCACACCTGCTGAGCTTCAGCAGGCTGCCAGCTGTGACTTGCAGGATAATCTAGCTACTGCATTCTCAGACTGTCATCCCTGTTGCTGCTACAAGGTGGCAGTTGGACAAAACGCTTCTTAAGGAGGCATCAAGCAGTCTGAACATATTCACTGAGATCTGTACCATCTGGTTTGCCACTCAGGTGGCTCAGCAATTAGAGAGACAGGATAAGAGTATTTTCACAGCCTGTTTGTGAGGTGAGAAAGGAAACCCATCCCAACAAGCATGAGATGGAAGCAGAAATTGCATAACATGAATTTTATAACCGATTTCTTCAGTATACCTAGAAATATGCATGCCTAAAGTAGTACGGTTTTGCTGGAGGACTCCTAAAAACATTTATTTGAGCTACACAGGATTTTGTGTGATAGTTATAATGGAAATAACTCTGCTCCTCTAAATGAGATTTTTTTTTTCCTGATTTATATCCATTAACACACATTATTCCCTTCAAGGATCTATCCCTGTATAATAATGTCAGGGGGTCAGGAGGAACATGGAATCTACAGAACAGTCTCCTGGCCACAATTAAGCTTTGCGACTTCACAGCCCTCGAAAGAAATGTTTTGTTTCCTTTCAAAAATCCGAAAAAAAAAAAAACTCGTCTAGGCAGCTTGAAACGTTGACTCGGGCTTCCAAAGAGTTCCTCTGCAAGTCGAACCTGGGGCTTGACACGAAGTTCAGGCTTCACAGACCAAGGACACCTGTAGCCCTGAACGTGATCACCTGAAGTCAGCCCGACAGTCCAAGGTTTAGCGCTAATTACGGTCCGTGAACGCACGGGGAAGAGCGTATAACTCCCACCGTATGTGCCAGTTAGAAATGACACAGAGGAGAGACTACCCCAAAGGCCCCTCCAGAGAGTCCGTACAGACCTTGATTTTGTCTGCAGGCTGGTGGAGTGTCATCTTCTGCTTCATGGCTGAGGGATTGGAGTGACTGCAGTGGCCATTAGAGTGCATTAACAGCCTCTCTCGAGGGCAGCTCATTTGTCCACAATGGAGCTCGGAGCCTGAGCAGCCCTGCAGGACACAGGAGGGAGAGAGAGAGAGAGAAATTTCAGCTGGGTGGTTCTCTTACCTTGTGCTGTCCAGAGGATGCTAGCTGTTCTCCTCACTCCCTCCCCCATCATCTTTTGGTTTCTATCCCTGCCAGGGTCTCCAATACGTACTTGAACGTCAGTTTCACAACTAGCTTTCTCAATTAGGAATGTTTTATTCTCTTGGTCCCCCTTCATCAGCTGAATATTTGAGCTACCTTCCAACTTTCAGAGCTACAATCGAAGCCTCCAACAGGTTTGGTTTTAAAAGAATCCAAATGTTTTGTCTTTTTCTCCAGGCAATCAGACTATCAACAGCATTCAGAACCAGTCATAGGAACAATCACTGCACCAACCAGTCTGAAGGCAGCCACTAAACCGACAGCACGACCTGTGTTGTTGAACACAAAGTTTGCTCTTGGTAGTTTAGTGCCTTCTATCTTGTGACTCTCTCCTATATCCTTTAAAAACAAACTCTAAACAAAATACCCCTTTTGCAATTATCGGGTTATTAAAAAACCAGAAAGTTAACCCAGCAGACAAACCAGAGATCCCTAGTGGAAACTACACTTATGTGTTTACAAAGGGCTGTAGAATTAGTCCTATGTTGTCATACTGTGGTTTGACAAGAGAGTTATTGTGGGTTGGTAGAGTCATACGCACGTTAAGTATTAATTGCCTTGTGTACCAGGAACGTGCACATTCTGAGCACCTAACTGCTTCAGCAATTCTACGAGACACATTGTTGTTGTTTTTTATTACAGGGTGCGGAGAAACTCTCAGAGTCTCCCACCTGTCCATCATTTTCAGGCACCCATCACACCAGTCACTCTGCAACCACACTGTGAACCATCGGATAATAGCTTTGTGTGGTCCTACAACAACAAACAAACCCATGGAAGGTGATGATATACTCATCCCATTAGCACAGCACACGATCCCTCTAGAATGTCTCTGGAGAGCCGACTAACAAGGCACCCCTCACTCATCAGCTGTGCTAATCAGTCCTGGGAAGTTTTATTTTCCGACCCGGCACTTCCTCAACCAGAACAGCTGTACGCAGGGATGAAATGTTTGCGTTTTCAAACAGATTACTCCATATTTCATGAAACCCTTCTTCCTGTGGCAGCCTGCATAGCAGCAAGCAAATGGAAACCAGAATTTGTCCTTTCATCTCTCTGGGCCTGCACACAGCTCTCAAAGTTAAAGCATTAAGATTGCTTTTAAAGTTCAAGAGACAGGTCATCTTTTTTTAAAAATCGGGCAACTGCACACAGAATTCAACAGTCCTTGGTGGACGCGATACCTCAGCAACCCTCTTGCACATGCTTTTATTTTACAAGAAACAAAAAAAAAAGAGCGGACCAGAATAAATTAAGGAGCTCAGACTGATCACTTCCAGTTAACCAGCCCATCACAGCTAACTGGTGCACAGCGCCTCCTGGTGGCCACATTCCTATTCTCCTACTCTTGAATTTGTTTTCGATTGCAAGCCCTCGGCCTATTAATACCAGCTGCTACACACAACCCTTTGAACTGCCTTCACATCAGAGACAATAACCCCCCCCCCCCAAAAAAAAAACATTTCCTCCTGGATGGGTAAGTTACATTCATTGTTACGAAAAGCCTGTCACTAAACTGTTTGTCTTGCGTTTTGGAGTGTCACAGGAGGCAATGACCCTCTTTCACAGATCATTTATCGAGAGTGTTTTGACCTTCTCCCTCACTGTGTGGTATGGTAACACGTCTGCCCAGGACGAGAAACAGCTGGATTGTGTAGATTACTTCCCAAACTGCCACCTTCCCTCTGTGCCCTCACCCTACTTCTCTATTGTACAGCTTAATTGCAAGATCTCTCCCAATCAAATTCCATGCCACTAGTCATCACGGCAATAAGTATCGAACCTGAAAAGGAACACATGGCGAGCAGGGACAGCGTCTTTCACATAAATCCAAGAACAAATCGAGTTGCCACTTAACATCCTTATTTTTCTCCACTCTTATTGCTTAGAAAGAAGAACAGGCAACCTCTTCCCCCCCCAAGCCCTCCCTTGACCAGACGGGTGTGTGACGGAAAGCTGCCCGCATTTTTAGTTTTCCCCCCAGCACCCCTCCGGCCTCGACGAGGCAGCCCACGAAAATCAAGACTCCCTACGGCTGCAGGAGCACCGCGAGGCAAAGGAGGAGACTGGCTCTGGTTATCAGCTGTTGACAAGTCCACGGGCTCCTGATTTATGGACGCTGGGAGCGGAGGAGAGGAACCAATTAAATGCAGCAAACCCAAGGGGCGTTAACTGATGATGGTCATTTATGAGCCAGAAGTAATCCTGCCACAGGCCACTTCACTGTGCTCTCCTCACAGGGAAAACCTCACGATCCGAAAACCGCTTCTGTCCGATTAAACCTCTCCTGCTCCATCTACCACGGCAGATGGTTTCATAACCCTCAAAATAAACAGGCAACTATTATTCCCTTTGGTTATTTTCAAAATCAATCCGACACCGGTTTGTATAATATCTGGCACTCCGCACGGATACAAGCCGAGCTTTTGACACCGGCACGTACCTCATCTCGAGCCTGGGCAGGCCACTCAGGCAGCGAGAAAACCGAGCCAGCTTTTAATAAGGCTTGACAAGGCAGACGGCATGTTAGCAAAGAAAGCAATGGAGAAACGGGTTGTATCTATCTATGGAACAGTCTTTTTTTGGTCTCAAGCTGAAGAACCCGTGGAAAAAAAAAAGGGAAAAAAAGTGAGAATTGCATTTCACAGAAAAAAAAAATGTGTAAATCGGAAGTTGTACTGGTTAATTGCAAAAGGTGACTAATTATGGATTGAATCGCATGCAGTAAAAGAGGAATATTCCGAGATGTAGCATTTAAGAACGTTGCGCATTTAGAGAAAAGTGCCAATACGTAGGAAGATAATGTCCAATTAGTTTCCTCCTTGCCTCTTTGTAGTGCCATTAATAACAGTGGCCGGGGGACAAAATTAGACGGCCGATGGCCCCGAAGTTGCCGAGCTGTCCAAGTGACTAATGCCATGAGGGTGCCTGCTGGCCCCAGCACTTCCACTGCCTCCGAGCGGAAAAGCTCTCCTCAGAGGCTTAGACGAACAACTGGCACCCCCCAACACTGGGAATCAGCTTCATTCTTCTCTATGGGAACCACTCTCCCCTCAGCACAAATGTCTTGATTTTTTTTTTCCCGGCGTCGACAGAGAACACTGCCGCAGGGGCTGTAATCTTTTGTTAAGCCTGATCTTGCTAGGCTGGCCACTCCGAGTTGCAGCCACGAGGACCAGACCAGCTCTCCTGGTGCAATAATGCCCTTCAGTAATTAAGCACAAGAAGCGCCGGACACTGAGTTGCATGATCGTCTCTCAGCTTACTGTCCGGCCCCTCGATAGCAAAGGAGAATTCAGATTTCACAGCGAGTGCTTTTCTTGGTCTGCAAGTCTATCAACAATCGCTGAATGATGGATTGTGGCAGCGAGGGCATGCTTACAAACGTGCACGTTCATATCTAGGATGAAGCAGCTGAGAGCAGCCTCTTGAGGAGTTTGTACATAGTTTCTGCTGTGTGGAAATGCACATCAGAGTCAGGACTGGGGTATAGAGAGGAGGTGTCAGAACTGGCTACCATACTGTTCTAAACACACCCGGCATGGAGTTTCCATTTTCTATTTTGCCACAACCCAACTAAACCTGTGTGTGCTGCAAACGCATTCACGTGCATTAAGACGTACAGAGAAAAATATCTGCAGCTTCTGCCTCTTTATGCAAATTTCCTCAGCTTATGTACAGCTCAGAACATGCAAACTATTTCATTACTACTGGTAAAAAAAAAGAAAAAGGCCAGTTCCCTTCTGCCATTCAAATCTCAGGTTTGTCCCAAGCATAGCAGACAGCAGCCCTAATTATCAGGAAACCGCTAAAAATAGAGAGGAAAACAGCAAGTGGTTGCCAATCTTCATTAGCAGCTGCAAAGTAGCTGGTGTCTGCCGCTTGCTCAATTTAGAGCTTTACTGATCCAAGCTGCAACCCTGTCAATCAGTTTTGTTTTTAGGCTGACAGGGTTTGTTTGGGGGTGGGGTTGGGGGAAATGATTGTGCCAAGCTGCTCAAGACACGAGCTCATGAACAGCAGCCATATCACTCTGCAACTCACAACTGGCAGCCCACTGAAGCTCCGCAGGTGTGAGCCTGGTCAGTACCTGGATAGGAGACCTCCTGGGAAAAACTAAGGTTGCTGCTGGAAGAGGTGTTATTTGGGCCAACAGGGGGCGCTCACCCTGTGGTCCATGTGGGTCCTAATGCCCCAGTATGGTGACGGGGACACTATACTGTAAACTGGCGCCGTCCTTCAGATGAGACGTAAAACCGAGGTCCTGACTCTCTGTGGTCATTAGAAAAATTTCCCATTGGCCTTTACCAATCATGGCCTCTTAATAAACCTCTCCTCCCCACTGAGAGCTGATGTGTGGTGAGCGTTCTGGCGCACTATGGCTGCCGTCGCATCATCCAGGTGGAGCTTCACACTGGTGGGGGTGGAGGGGATCCCCATTATCTCTAAAGTGCTTTGAGTGGAGTGTCCCGAAAAGCACTTTATAAGTGTAAGGAATTATTATTATTATTATTATTATTATTATTATTATTATTAACAGTGCTGGTCAATAGGCTTGCTTGCAAATTTCTAATGGCAGTAAGTTAAAAGCAGCTGGAAAAGGTCAATTTTAAACAGCAGACCACCTAGACCAAACATGTTTAGGAGCACCCTTCAGTACTTTGAGAAGAAAACAAGCGCATGGAACTTGGATACAGAAGAAAACAAGACAACCCCACATGTGATGCAAGACCAGCTTGGAACTGATCAAGGGCTTCTGCCTGTGATTATCAGTTTGCACTTAGCTGCGAGACCAGGACACACACACAAGGTATAAAGTTCATGCATTTTAACAGCAATGGTGTAACAGATAAGATGCTTTATTTGCACGGCAGAGATTGCATCTGAAATTGTGAAAGGAAGGAAGAAATTGCTTCGTTAAAAAAAAGAAGCGCATTTTGCGTTTCAATCCATGAAAGAGCTTGTAGGGAATATTAACCCCCAATACAGAATCAAAGTGAAGATTTATTAGACCAGTTCAAGAGAAGGTTTAAATTTAGTGACAGAATGACTACAGTCATATGCTGACTAAAATAACTGACAAACCTGTCATTTGAGCAATGGTTTTGTCCTGTAATTGTCATTTCTAAAATGTTAGTACTCTTTGCTTTCCTGAATGACTTCTGTGACAGTGCAATAATGTAAAGACAACAGTGAAAAGATAGGACACTAGACAGACTCCAGAAAAACAGGTCAGCGACACAGAATTTTAGGCCAAGCTTGAATAAAAAAATACCCTGTTACTCTTGAATATCTACAAGCATAAATAAGCCAATCCTCTTAGCTGTGGAGTCTGTCTCAATTAAATTAATTCCCACAGATACATTATCCTAGCAACATCATCACTAATGGGACGTCTCGGCAGAAAAGCTGACCGTTTCAACATCTGGAGGTCAAAGGTGACCCAGAATGACATGTGGGAGGTTCACCGGCATAAACACGGAGAAGCTTTCTTTAAGAAGATCAGAGAGCCATTTTGCTGAACTAACAGACTTGTCAAGAAAGCTGCAAAGCACAGATGATCAGTATGGGCTTCTCTCTCCCAAACCATTCTGCACAAGTACCTTCTGAAACAAAAGAGTACGGGCATCCAGAGAGCAGATCACTACAAAGAAAAATAAACACAGGAAAAATAACTGGCACCTTTTAAATGCATTAAAAAAATTAAATGAACACAAGCTCACCAATGTGAGGAGAAGCTGCAAGATCTAAACCTTTGTTTAGAAAATAACTGGGGGGCAAAATCAAACACAGGAAGCTAGAGAAAGTTGACTGGCGGAGCTTGCAAAAGTAATTAGAAAATTCATAGCTAGTTTACAGTCCCTCTCACTCATGAGACTAACAACAAGTCACCAGACAATGCGAGACATTTGCTTCATGAGCGGAAAAACAAAAAGCTAAAAGCACCTCATAAACGCTGAAAAACAACCCCAGGTAAAACGCTTATTACTTTCTAAAAACCTAACACAAACACCATCAATCATGCTGTCACCAGCGACCAGTGACGATTCCCGGCAGTGTGCCAGGCAGGCTGTGGAGTGCGAACTCGAGTGGCGTTTGTTAAAATGCTGGGACCGAAGCAGCCCTTTCCTCTGCCCTCCACTACAACACAAGTCATCCAAGGGCTGGAATGCCATTCCGGAAAGCCGGAGCTTCGGAGACTCGCGGGCCATTTCACGGCTGCGGTGGACTCACAGCTGAGGACGGGCGCTCTCCCTCTCCCTCTGGGTCATCCTGGTTCTCTCTGTCGGGAAACATCTTCTCCAGGATGAGGAAGGACAACAGTCCCACAATCACCCACAGGCCCAGGAGCTTGTAGCGCTCTTGACTTGCTGATCCATCTGCAAGGTGACAAAAAGACAGGCTTACAATTTCTAAGAACTACTGGGGGTTCGAGGGAGAGACGGAGAGAGACTGCCTTTTCTCTCGACAATTCCAGTGTAAACAGTTTTGAAATGGCACAGTCAAGCAGGAACACCACAGTGTTGCCCAGACAACAGTTTCAAGATGCCTGCCATTCCTCTGGAGTTCACTGTTACACCCATCAGCATGTGGCAGTTAAATTACACTGCGAGTCGCGGTGGAACAGACACGCTGGCAGACATGCTGCAGGTCCAAAATAACTTCACAACATCGGCCCCCTCGCCAAACCCCACCCGGTTCTCGGCGGCACACAAGCCTCTCGAGATCTGAAGATGGTCACAAAAGCCCTGGGTATGGATTTTGGGAGTGGACAGCAGGTCGAGCTTTTGATTTAACCATTTTCTATTTCTATTATTCTTTTGCTCAAACACTGTAGATGCTTGGTGACTCACTGGAAAATCCTTCAATGGTTTTCCTCCCTATCCTCTAAAGTCCCTTGGAAAACTGTACATTAAATTATTTTTTACCCACCCTTAGTGTGCAGAATTCATATCCTTCACTCTTCACTTATTTTGTCCCCTTTAAATTATTCATTCATGCCAATGGAAATCCTTAGGTCTGACTTGTGCAAAGCACTGTAAAGGCTGTGGCAGGACGGCGGGCGCCCCGATTGATCGGTGATTGAGTCGATCGGGTATTGAACAGCGGGTACCTGTGCCAGTCCCGTTGCAGGAGTAGGCCCATGCTTCAGGCAGGAGGTGGAGGAACACATCGCCGAGCAGCCCGCCGATGGCAAAGCTGAGCAGCTGCTTCAGTCTCTGGCATCCGGCTGAAGTCAAGGAGGCACGGTGGAGAAAAACGACAGGGAGATTCACGGGTTACCTGGAGTCCGAGAGAGCCTGGCTAGTCCAGAGACTAGCTCTGGAGAACTCCCTCCTTCAACAGCAGAGCTCGCAGACCAAAACTGACAAGTGAAAAGACTCTCCGAATATCGGTGAAGACATTAATTGAAGTGCCCGGTGGCGGTCTCTCAACCCTCTTGTTGTCAATAAAGGATTCAGACGCCTTAGAGAAAACTGCACTCGGAGAAGTGCTTCAACAGATTAGTACAACACGACAGGTTACTGTACTTGCCAAGTAACACAAAAGGCACTAGGCATTTGCTCAGACAATACGATGCTTGCACACAAAAGTTACATTGCACAATGCATACAAAACGTACAAGATTGCGCACGCGTGGATTATCACATGCAAACTTAACTCTAAATAATGCAGATTTTCTAAAGAGAATATGAACAACTCTAAGTAATACACAGTTGGAGGGTGCAGATGATTAAAAAGAAAATCAAGCACATTAATGCATAATATTCCCATCCAGAATTTGAAGGAGTTGTGGATTCAGCACAGAAGAGTAACATTTACCAACAACATCTGGCTGTTTTGGTAGTTAGAAGCTAGTTTATCCAATGATCTCATATGGCTGTTTCTTTAAGGATGTCTGGGTATCGGCTTCAGCCACGTGGCTGGGTAGCTTGTTCCAAAGAAGGGGACTCTTATTTCATGGTTTTAAATGTGTGTGCTTCTAGCTTCCACTTGTATTCACCTCATTGCTCGTCTCTTTTTACAACACGTATGAAATGAAAGAGACAAAGGAAAACAAAGATAAGCAGACCTAACATTAAAGTTGTCCAAATGCTCAAAGCAGGAAAGAGGGGCAGAGAGAGAGAGAGAATGAATAGGCTAGGAAACATCTCCTTTGTCTCACCTCTAACTGGTACTTAGCCCTGTGGCAGAGAATAGAGAAATCTGCTTGCTTTCAAATCCTCACTTATGACAACATCACATCACTGTGCCACATTCACCCTAATTCCAGCATAGAGGCCTAACCAGCTCGTTCAACTTAAAAAAAAAAAATAAGTATGGTATTTAAAATAAATGACAGATCGCAGCAGGAGACAAGTGCTTAAAAAAAAAACCAAAGGCTTCCAACTAAAGCCTTTGAACACCAGGAAGAAGGCTCAGAAATTGTACCCGTCAAAGGAGGATAGCACTCAGCTCATTACTGAACAAAAAAAATACCCAGGGAATGTAAGAGGACAGCTTTGCATATTACCTTCAGCCTCTGAGCATTTCCCTGCTTTGTCTGCAGTTTCTCAGAAGTGTCAGGAGATAATCTAGCCTCGACAGGCAGCTGGATCACCAATTCACATTCCAATTTCAAGGTCATCGTCCTGATTTACCGAACCAGCATTTGTAAAAACCTTAGCTCTCCTCCCTGTGGGTTCACTCCTCTCGCGATTCATTTCTGATGCCCTGTCCGATCAGAATAGTACACACCTGCGTCTGCATAAATAAACACCGCAGCACACAACTCCCAAGGAAAACGACTCTTTGGAAATCAAATGCAAGGAAAACAGGGGAAATACAGGGTGCTGCACAATTTTAAGGGCATCGTGTCACCTACAGCCTGCAGCGATGTAGGATAATCATTTCATTCTACACTTTGTACCAACCCTCTTTGGGCATTCAGAAAACCCCGGATGAAATTTGATTCCAGAACTGTGCCTAATTTATGTGCAACAGGAACGGCAGAAAAAGACAAACAGTCTTATTTGCTTTAGTAAAACTGGTCTTCAACAGGTTTGTGCCCCGTTTCGATTAGTAGTCCAGGTGTTTTGCTGCACAATGGAGATTTCGATTGCATCACTCAGTTTTCATATCTAGAACTCTTTGAAACTGCCTTCAGAATATAAACAGTGACAAGAAAAGTCAGTTATGTAAATAATTACTTAGCAGAGTTTGAAAAATGGAAGAAAAACTAGTTCAATTATATTTTACAAGGATTTACGGTGTAGAGCCCAGAACAGAAAAATAAAAAACCTTGTACTTTTCTCTCCCCTAAACAATGCTGATATTGAAGGTTGTTTGTCAATTGTGTAGCTCATGACATGTTTTACTCTTCCTACACAGGAAGCCTACACACACACATGTCTTGGACTTATAAAGTAAGCCCCACAATCGTATGAAATTACAGGCATCGATACCTCTTGGAACAGGTAAAACACAATCCAGATCAAGAAACAATGAATCCCTGGAAAGCCTCAAATTCTAACATACCACCGGGGAAACACACAATCCCACAGGCACCACCATGTTAAAGTCACAAACCCTGCCTCTTCTTAAAAGGCTTTTAAGAACTTGCATCATTGAGAGCCTGAGAAGCTCCTATTAGGCATAAATGCTATACTGTGTCCTAGTGCTCTTTTCATACTCTGAGGGGAGAGAAGTGAATTAAGTTGCATTTTTCATACAGAAGACGTTTATACAAAGTTCAGCAATGAAAATGCTCCAGCTCTCCTCTTCAGATTGCCAAATGTGAGACATACTTCCAAACACTAGAAGATCACACCCGACTACTCTACTCCATCTAGCTTGATTGTAATACACAGCATTCACAGTGCCCAGATACACAATGCACCATGGGGATCTGGGACTGAACCAGAGAAGTCATGCATTCCAAATGCCTAATGAGCCATTAATCACTTTTTGCTTAACATCCCATTTATCCACGACAAGGCGTGGTTTAGAGACTCCCATTTCAGGGACTGCTCCAGCTAGGGTGAAACTGGCACTTGCCAAATACTTCCCAGTAACAACAAAGAAATGCCAGGTCAGATATTCCAGGTAGGCAGTGGCTGTGGATTTAGCACAGACCCAGAGTTCAGAGAGCACAAACTAGGCATCTGAGCATTCCACTGGTCTTTATGAGTCGCGGGCTCTGCTGACTTGCTACAAAGAGGACCTTGATTAATTCCAGACACACAAGTATAAGCTGGCTTGATAAGTCATTCATTATCTGTTCCTAGGACTGCTTTTAGGATTATGAAATTAGTATACAACACTATCTGGCAGCAAAGATTTGACGAAGCTAATAGCATTGCTCACGATAAAACACTTAAGAGAGCCTTTTGTTTATCCAAGATTAAAAAAAAAAAAGGTTCAGGTCTCATTCTCCAAAAACATTTTTTTCTTTATAGTATTGCATTGCATTGTGCTTCATGCAAAGCCTAGAGATACAGTATATTCTAGATGTTCCAATCCCCCCTCACAACCGACATTGGCCAATAGCACTGACTGGTTCACCTTTCCCCCTTTCTTCTAACTGTGCCAAAGATTAAAGCTAATATCGCCCTTCACTCATCCACAGGTACCAGTGACAATGAGGAATGACTGCAAGGGTCAGTTAGACTTGCGGTCTGATAAACACAAGTCCATTACCCATCTTCAGATATCAAGTACATTAGTACACGAGATCCTAAAAAAGAAAAACATAAAGAACAAAAGTTAAAAAAAAAACTTTAAAAAAAAGACGTTACATTTTAGTCAGTTTTGTTTTGTTAATTAGGCAATGTGGTTCATTAAATTGAAAAGGCATTGATTAGGTAAACAATTAGGTAAACATTGTTTAACCTAATCACTGTGAATTTGGACAAGATTTTTGATAAATTTGCAATCTGGACTAGAAATCTTCCAAACTCAAATTAGCACTCTATAGGTGTATGAGCAACATGTCACCACCCATGTCCCCCAGAATGGAGTCTGACAGGGATAATATAATTTCCACAGATGCATTTTTTTTTTAAATCAAGTATTCAAAAGGACAGATCAGGCAAAATACAAAAAAATATACCCAGAAGCATTGAATGCCAAGAGCTTTCCATGAAATTATGTATTCACAAAGATTAGCAGGACTGCTCATCTCTTAAGCACTGTCCCTCAGAAAAATGTGCTTTCATTTCTGCCTTTGTAAAATATGAAAGTCGACAGCATGAGTCCGCCTGCAAGTTCGCACTGTAAAAACATTTGAACTTTAAAAAAAA